GACTAATATGTATGTTTTATACTCTTACCTTTCCGGCTTCTTACTGTGAATATTTTGCCTACTGCTATACATTTTCTACAAAATCTTGACTAGTTTTATAGAAGATGACCAATTATAGAGATCAAGAGACGAATACCATCATCATCATCTTCTTCCTCCTCTTACCCTCCTCCTCCCCTTTCCCTTCTTTTTTTGAGCATGCTAGGTAAGTGCTCTACCACTGAACTGTATCTGTAATCCCCAACCCTTCATTTTATATAGGCAATCCAAGACAAGAAATAATTTCTATTTAAAGCCTCATATAACTTGTTAATGGCAAAATCTACATTCATGTTTGCCATGGTTTGAATATGGTTTGTCCCATCCAAAACTCACTTTGAAATTTTATTTCTAAGGTAACAGTGTTGAGAGGTAGTGGGGCCTTTAAGAAATTGTTAGGTAGTTAAGGGAGATGAATACCTTTGTCGTAGGATTGAATTGTAGTTACCTCGTGGGGAAGGTAGACTTTGCTTCTTCTGCATATATCTTTGCCCTACTTCTTTCAGCCATGAGTTAAAGTAGCAGAAAGTCCTCACCAAATCCTGAGCATCATGTTCTTTTTTCTTTTCTTTTTTTTTTTTTTTTGATACAGAGAATTGAACTCAGGACCCTGTGCTTGCTAGGCAGGCGCTTGTGTGGCTGAGCTATATACCCAGCCCCAGCATCTGTATTCTTAGAGGTTTTTAGCCTCTAGAACCAGGAACCAAATTACACTTCTATTCTTTATAAATCATTCAGTCTCAGATACTCTATTACAGCAACATAAAACACATTAAGGCAGTATTTGTGTTTCCTCCTTTCCTCCTGGAACAAAATGTTTTCTATATTCCCAGTACTAAAGATAAAGATATTGTTCATATTGAAGAACTGAACAATTTCTGGCTTATTTCACTACAAACTCCTTAAAAGGAAAGAATGTAATTGAACCTTTAAAACTCAGAATAAATACTGTAGTTCCTAGCATGTAGTAGATATTAGTGTGTGTTTACAAAATGATCAATTGGTGAAATGTGAGTTATGTCATCAAAAAGAGTTACCAGGCAAGCCTATTTCTGTTTTTTCTTCTCCTTTTAGGTTTGGTGAGACAGGGTCTCATTATGTAATCCAGGCAGGTCTTAAACTCACTATATAACTGCGATGGTTTGTGTCTAGATGTTCCCCCGAAAAGCCTCATGCACTTTTAGAGGGGCTTTTTCAGAGATAGCTGAATCTAGAGTTTGAGATTGACTCATAGTTCAGTCCTGGGATTAAGGGTGTGTGATGGCTGGATCAGTCCACTGATTGAACTGGTATCACCCTAATCCCAGCAGTTTAGATAAGATAAAAGGGGCGAAAGAGGCTTGTTTCCCCCTCTCTCTCTTCACAGTTGCTTTTGCTATCTTCCACTGCCATTAACTGCTGCCCCTCTGCCACATGCCACACTTGCTGTGGAGCTATCAGATTATGGACTAAAACCACTACAAACTGTGAGCTGAATAAACCTTTCCTCCTTTAACTCGTGGGTGTTGGATATCTTGTCTCAGCAATGAGGAAAGTAACTAAGACAATAGCCCAGGCTAGCCTCGAATTTGCAGAGATCCTCCTGCCTCAACCTCCCAAGTGCTGGAATTATGGGCATGCACCACCACGCCCAGCCTTCTAGTTCTTCTAAATGAAACACCATAACACAGTTAAACTAGGCCTAACATTAGAGAACACAAAAATGACCAAAAAAAAAGAAAAAACAAACAAAAAAAAACTTCTCTAGTTTAAAGCTAATATGATTTAAAAAAATTCATCCAGTTCCAAATAAAAAGGAGGAGGATATTCCTCCTCCTTTCCAGAAATTCCATTCAGTGGAAGCACACATTCCAGAAAGAAGCTAAATGTAAAGCTAAAAGTAACTGAGAGAGCTTCCAAATGGAGGGAACCAAAAACAAAAAATGACAGAGATAGTAGGAGAGTAGCCAGTACAAATATTTTATGAATAAGCACCTAAAAACCTACCCCCTCTCAGTTGTACACAGCTATCCAATGCACTACTCCAGTAAAAGTCCTGGTCATGCTCTTGCCTGCCCAGCTAATACAAGATTCTTATTAAGCTAGAAATAAAATACACTATTAAAACTAAATTAAAACATCTGGGTGTGGTGGTACATGCCTGTAATCCTAGCACTTGGGAGGTGGGGGAGGAGGATCACCATGAGTTCAAGAAAACAAAGAAATATGGCCCCTAAATAACAGAATTTATCCAGGTTTAATCCAGTATGTTTATATAAGAATTCTAAAAAGAATATATCTTAGAATAAAACTTTAACTAATGAAACACTATCACATAATACTAAGCAAGTCTTCTAATAGCTTTAATAAGAAGGAAAACCAGGAGCAGTGGTACATGCCTGGTAATCCTACCTACTCAGGAGGCTAAGGCAGCTGGATTGCAACCTCAAGACCAGACTGAGCAATTTAGCAGGCCCTTCCTTGTCCCAAAATAAAAAGGATTAGGGCGGTACCTCAGTGAGAGAGCCCCTAGGTTCCATTCCTAATATAACAACAACAACAACAACAAAATTAAAACGAGGAAGAAGAGGGTAGGGGAAGAGGAAAAGGAAGACAAGGAGGATGAAGAAGAGAAGGAGGAGGAAGAAAAGGAGGAAAAACAGGTATCATGATTTTCACTTCATAGATAAGGTAACTAAGGCTTAGAGAGATTAAATGATTTGTCTCCTTTTACAAAGTTCATTAAGTGATAAAGCCAAGACTAAACCTGAGGAATTTTCTGACTCATAACTGGAGTCTACATAAAAGGACTATCTTCATAAGCCATCCAAAAGGACTCTATAAAAGTCTCTGAGAACAATTTCATCATTAGAGTGTTTCTACAAAATATAATTGTAAAATGACAATAATGAATTACAGTATATCCTCATGAAGTTGCAGTTCAGTGTTCACGGCCTCAGTTGTTTATGGATTTTTTCCTCAGAAGCTTACTACTAGTTGTTTGAGGAAATCACCACAATTTCATAGAAACTGCAAATATCCTCCACAATTGTTTTTTTTTTGGTGGGAGGTTTGCAAGCAGCCAATCCAAAAACATTATTTAGTTCTCCTTGCTACTGACTGGGTGCTGCCCCATAACCCATCTCCGCAGATGCACCAGTATTCCCGCATCATAACAGGTTGTTGTACTCCCTGTAGCTATCACTAGTGTCCTCAATTTTGTTCTTCCTAAAGGCCTAAGACCCCTAAGATGCCACCAAAATGCCACATACCTTCTAAAGCTTTATTAATACACTATTTTATTAAATTAAATTACATAGCAAGTGTGGTGGTACACACCTGTAATCCCAGCACTAGAGAGACTGAAGAAGGAGGATCACTGCGAGTTGAGGTTAGCCTAGGCTACATGGTGAGTTCAGGTCCAGCCTGAACTACATAGTAAGACCTTGTCTCAAAAAAAAGAAGAAAAAGAAGAAAGAAGAAATGGAGGGGGAGGGGAAGGGGAAAGAGAAGGAGGAGGAAGAAGATGGGGAAGAGCAGGAGGAAGAGAGGACAAATCACCCAATACAAAAAAAGGGGGCGGTAAAGAACAATTGACAAAAAAATAAATTACATAACTGCAGGACACACTATATTTAGGGTTTAAACTATAAAAATAGGCATTTTTCTGACCATATCTGAAATTCACAGTTTTTCACAATTTACGGGTACTCTAGGAACGTAACCCCCACAAATTTTGGGGGCCCACTGTACTATGTATTTCCCTTTTTTTTTTTTTCCTGGTACTGGGAATTGAACTCACGACCTTGTGCTTGCCAGGCAGGCACTGTGCCGCTGAGTTAAATCCCCAGCCCTTGTACTACGTATTTCATAGATTTGAAAACAACATATGGGCTGGGGAGATGGCTCAGCGGCACACCACCTTCCTGGCAAGTGCAAGGTCCTGAGTTCAATTCCCTGTGCTAAAAAAGAAAACTACATATGATGTATACACAAAGTACATATAACAATTAAATATGAATACTACTGTGTCCACTTCCTTATTATATCTCATGTTTCCTTCTAGAAAAGTCTCAAAGCCATGGTTTTATCAAAGCTCTATTTCCTTAGAATTTTCCAAATTTGTCTTTAGTAAATCATGCTGGGTGTGACTGTGATGTAAGTGTATAAAATATAGGTCCTTGAACTTCAACATGGAGAGTCTAATTCAATAAGTCCATATTCTGTTGTTGTTTTTTTGTCTTGCTTGGAGGTAGAAGGCTGCTAGAGATCAAACTCAGGGCCTCATATGTGCTAAGTGCACGCTCTACCACTGAGCTATATCATTGGTCCAAATTTATGTTTTTAGTCTGCTACATGCTGCTTCTTAACGAACACTTCAGATGCTTCTGATCAGCTATATTTGCAAAACATACCAAGAAGAATTCTAAAAAAGAAAAAAGTAGTCCCCCAAAATATAAGAAAATCCAGAACAAAGACTATCAATTTCAAGCAAATCTGAAGCCAGAATAAAATACAGATTGGGGGCCTACTTTAACCTTTTCTCCAAACTTAGCTGTCCTTGCCCGAGCTTTTCAAAACCTGGACTCCCGCCTAGCACCACACTGTAGGACAGATATAAAGGTAAAGAGTATCAATTTTATCATCTTTGACTTTCTTAGTCTCAGTCTACTAAAACTCAGTAAATTCCAAAACACAAATCTAAGATTATGATAAATATTTAAGTGACTGCTTTCCCAAAATGCTAGGCAAAACTCGAGGTAGAGTAGAGGACTTGGGGAGAATAGGGATGGGAAAGAGTGAAGACTCTGCTTAGTAGGAAAAGTCAACTGGTCCACTGCTTCCTTGACAGGAGTCACAGAAAACAACATTACTGAATGAAATTTCTCCTACAGATATTGAGAATAGTTCTCAAGAAGGATTCCTATGCAATAGACCATCATATGCAATCATAATCATAATGGTAATAATCATCTACTTACAAACTGCCTCTTCTTGGAAGGCTCAACTCCTTCTGAAAAACAAAATACCCGTAAGTTAGAAATAATGACTCATTTGAGTCCTAGAGGTCTGTCTAAATATTCTTAATGGCAAAGACCAAATATTTCTAAAGGAGAACTTTTGCCTTTGTCTCTAAAACTGAAGTGAAATAAACAGCAGTCAGGATTATCTCTATTCTTTCGTAAACAGAATACCCGACACAGGCAGGCATGGTGGCACACACCTGTAATCCCAGCACTCAGGAAGCTGAGCCAGGAGGATTGCTGTGAGTTTGAGGCTAGCCAGGGCCACATACTGAGTTTAAGACCAGTCTAAACTACATAGCAAGCTTAAAAAGAAAAAAAAAATCTGAGACTACTTGCAATCTTTTTCCCACTAGATGGAACCATCTCCCCAGTGCAGATTCTAGGCACTCTGGGAAAGCCTTTAACTACTGATGAACTGTAAAGAATTTATATTAGAGTCAAGAATATGACAGAAATGAAATGTGGTTGGGGTAGTTAGAAAATATTTTTGATAAATAAATAACTACAAAAAATCTTTAAAAAGATGACTACACATATCACTGGTATTATAAATAACCCTTACTATAACAGTTGGGACCCCTGTGACTTTCTTTTCTAGGTAGGATACAGTTCCAACTTCTACCAGCCCTCTCTTTCTTTTTTTGGTATTGGAACTTGAACTTAGGACCTTGTGGTTGCAGACAGGAGCTGTGCCACTGAGCTATATCCCCAGCCCCTACCAGCCCTCTCTTAACAAATATTTTTAACTTAATTTTTCTCACACGTGTCTCCATTATTTATTATACTGTGGTACCCCAGCTCACGAACTTAATTTGTTCTACAGTTTTGGAAAAGATAGCCACATGTGTTTGTGTGTCTACAATCGTGTTTGTCACCCAATGTACAGTTTGTAAATAAAACCAAAATTTTGCCAATGCTTCTGTTTGTAAACCAAATTGTTTGCAAGCAAAAGCGTTCATTAATTGATCTACCACTGTATATTGAAAAATAATTATCAGTATCATTTTACATGTTTTAAAATTACATATACCTGGTTTTATATTATTTGTATCCACCTGTTAACATTAGAGACATAAAATCATGAAAACTGGTAGATATATCCATGTAGATATATATTTCAGTTCATTAATCCTTAGGCAGTAATCCAGTCTAAAAATATGCCAATATATATTTATCCATTCGCCAATAAATGGAAATTTCATTTTCTTTCAACATTTTTCCCTGTATTAAAAATAATATTCCTATAAATGTTCCTGTACATGTTTTCTAATAAACATGTATAAAAGGTTTCTTGGACGTACATACTTGAAGGTGGAATTGCTACACTATGAAGTATCAGATATTCCAAACTGCTCCTCAAAACAACTGTATCAATTTACTTTCCTCCTCCAACACTTTGCAAGTGTTTTTTCTACAGACCTGACATGCAGATTCCAAACATTTATAATTGTCTACTCAAGATCTCCAGACCAACATGCCAAAAAGTAAACTCTTCTTTCCATGAAAACTTCATCCACACTCCCAGCCTTTCCCCATCTCAGATGACAATAACTGTTATCTAGAGGTTCGGACCAGAACTCTGAACAGCAGTACTTCTGTTTTTTTGTATACATGTCACCTACCAGTAATTCTTAAATGCTGCAAGTTTAAAATACATCCAGAATCCAGTCATTTCTATGTCCACAGATACAAGTTCTAATCTCTGTAATAAAAATCGTGTATCCAGTTATGCTACAGAAACTGGAATTTATTGTATGTATATGTGTGTACAAGAACGGGAGCAACAAAATACATTACTACATCAAAATTTCTGCAGAAAAAATTGCTCAATTAGGGTTTTAATGTCTGCATGTCAAAATTTCAGTCTTTTCTTAATAGTATGATCTTTTTGTAAATGTAAGCGTAACTGAGCAGTTTTTTTTTTCTTTTACAAATCAGTACCTCCTAATTCTGACATTTTAAAACATTCAGCTTAATATTAAATGTGAGCAGTAAAAAAATTTAGTAAAAAATTTAAATATATTTTAAAAATATTTTCAGGAAGCTGCAAAATGGCTAAAAAAGCTTCTTGATAAGTCACAAGTGTTAATTCTATATATGCTTCCATCTCCAGTGTCTAATTTTTCAAAGACCTTAATTAAACTTATTCCCTCAGCAGCCTGTTCTTTGGCCACTTGAGCTGACTGGCCACGTGGATGAAGCATATGATTCAACTAGGCCAACCTGGTGGCATCATCAATTAAATCTCTCTGAATGTGGTCAACCAGCAAACCATCAATCTTCTGATTTACAATATACCAAGCTATTCTGTCACTGTTTTGCTGAACGCAAAAGGCCATACTTTCCATGTTTTTCAATATCTTCACAGATCTGATGATGAACTTTGATGTGCTCAGTAGAATTTGGCTCAAACTGGGCAATGCAAAGGTGAAAGACAGCTGGGCATGGTGGCACAAGCCAGTAATCCCAGCACTCAGAAGGCTGAGGCAGAAGAATCATTGCAAGTTCAAGACCAGCCTGGGCTACAAAGTGAGCTCAAGGCCAGCCTGA